AAGAAAGAAAAGGGAAAGAAAAAGGGAGAGAGAAACAAAGAAAAGGGATAGATAAAGAAGGAAGGGGGGATAGAAGGAAGGGACAGAAAGAAAGAAAGAAAGAAAGAAAAAAGAAAGAAAGGGAGGGAGGAGAAAGTGAACATGATATCTAGCCCAACCACCAGCTCCACCAGGTTTAGAAGGGAGAGTTTGTGTATGTGTGTGTGTGTGCATGGCTGTCAAAACTCAAAAACAGGTCAAGTAGCTCTGGGGAGGTCAGTCATAAATTAGAACACTTGCTAAGCAACTGGCCATTAAGCGAGGACCACTTGTATTTGATTTGCCAGTCACATGACCACCAAGCCACGCCCCAGCCAGTCACATGACCGCCAAGCCACACCCACAAATTAGGCGACCCCACAGAACCACCCCTGGGTGGGGGGCACTGAGGATGAGTTTGTAGCACCAAGGGGGGGGGGACTGAAAATGTTTGGGAACCACTGGTTTAGACAGATTCTTAAAGACCTGAATAAAACATACAGTATTTGAATATGTAGCAGGTTTCTCCCAACTACAGCCATTCATTATCGGGGAGGGGAGGTAATGGGAGCTAGAGTCTAACATTCTTAGAAGACACAGGTTGGGGAAAGCTGATATGTGCAGATGAAGTTGTTAGGAATGTAAGTCACCTAACAGGTATTTGGGTTTAAAATATATAAACCAGGACAAACATTTTAATACTGTATCTTTAAGAGAATCCTAAAATTGTAATTGGGTGTAGTTTCTCAAACGGCCATAAGATGGAGCCAGAAACCTGGGTTGTTTAGTCTTAGTCTCAGAAGAGAGTGTGAGTGAATCTCTTGTTTCCTTCTGTTGGAGAGTATTGCCGTTCCTGTATTGACTGTTATTCTTGGATTTGATGTAAGTCTGATACTGAACTGTTTTTGACATAGGACTTTGTTATTGGATTATCCCTGGACTAAAAACTGACTGACTTATCTGTGAATGACTTTGGACTATGTTTGAACTTTGCTTAACATTTCTGAAAGTAAAAACCTACATTTACTGTACAGTGTATCTGTGTGCTGTGTGTGTATTATTCAAACACTTCTCTCACTACGTCTCCCTGTGTGCGCTCATTCTCCTAATGGGGAATTACCTCAACAGAAATGCATCACAACAATCCTTAATCTGTGATCAGAGAATTTGTACTATGCCAAGCATCCATTCTAGCCTATTCAGACAGTTTTGCATTTATTATCCTGAGTCATAAAGGTCAAATAAAGGAAGATGAAAACGAAGATAAAACCAAACTGATGGCATTTAGGCCAATTATCTGGGGGGTTGAAGTGACTGAATAAGCAAAGGGAGAATGCTTGACATACCTTCCCGCTGACAGCCTTCTAAGCGGCAGGGTTCCCCTGTGGAAAGAGAGAGAGAAAAAAGTGACTTATGACATGACAATTGTTGCAGCATCTCTCTATTCACATGATCAAAATTTGGAAGCTTGGCAACTTGCCCATACTTATAATGACTGAAGTTTCCCAGAGCCTTGTGGTCACCTTGGCAACTTTCTGACAATCAAAGCCACTGGGGAAACCAGATTTGCTTAACAGTCATGTTACTAACTTATAGCAACTGCAGCCATTCACTTAACAACTGTGGCAAGAAAGGTCGCAAAAAAGGGGCAAACTTATTTAACAATCATCTTAGCAATGAAAATGTTGGTCTCAATTGTGGTCATACATTGAGAACTATCTATATAACCACACCTTTTTTATGCAAGTTTGTGATCTATTTTCTTGCATAGAGGAATAGAATGTAGAAAATGTAGAAAAATGTAGAAAATACACTTGCAAAGAACTTGTCTTGCAGAGTGATCATCAAAGTAGAAGCTTGAGTCAGAATATTTGTTAGGATGCCCAGTGGCTTGGGATTTCCATAAATCTCCCTCATTCAAAAATGGATCTCTGGAGATACATTACCATTGTTTCCTTTGTCTCCTTTGTCTCCCTTTGGTCCAGCTTTTCCAGGTATCCCAGCAGAGCCCTTTTCACCTAAGGAGAACAGAACAATGTCCCTTAAAAAAAACATCTGGAATATACCAAGAGATTCCAAATCTTGTCTTGGTAAAAAAAACAAGGTCATCACAGAGTCTTCTATCTCTCAGTTGGCAAAAAGGGGGCAACAACCCTTTGATAAACAGGAGAGCTACTTATATACTTTCCACATAATGGAAGAATTGCATTGTTTTCCAAGGTTTTCCTCATCTTTCTCAAGCACTGTGAAGACAATAACACCTTACTAGGAAAGAACTGTTTGATCCCTGGAAAGGAAGAAAGCTGGTGGGCATAAGAATAGTTCTTTTAACAAAATGATCCATTCCATCCTCCCTAAAAGTTCCCAACTGCTACTAATGCACAATCATCAGCATTTTAAAAACCTTCTTCCGGACCTGAAATACAACTTTGCTAGTACTTGCATCCTCCCCTCTTAGCTGGAATTTGAGGGGCAGGTCATGGTTTTCATCCTTCTGCCAGTAACCTTGGTAATGCTTTCTCCAACACTCTTTCTTCTAGATAGTCCAGGCTATGAGTTTCCTAGTTTCCTAGAGCAAATAAGCTGCTATAACTCCTCGACATCAATCACCTATAGAAGTAGGCATCAACTTACCTGGGGGGCCTTGAGGTCCTGGCTCACCCCTGGCTCCAGGAAGACCATTTGTTCCTGGCACACCTGGAATTCCAGGTATTCCTGCCTGGCCCTGGAGAACAATCTTGTCATTCCCACATTGTGCTAAGCCTTTCAGCTCTGGAATAGAAGAAAGAGCATAAACAGAGTGAAAAACTAAACAAAAGCAAGAAGGTTTTCCTCGCAGTCAGACAAGTCACACAGTGGTCCTAGTTTGGATACTAGAAAACAAGGATGAGTCAGCAGATAATATTGGATTTCTATTGTGGGGAATTCTGGGTGAGCTCACTCTTATTTTTTCACTGAGCCTTTGCAAGTTTTTAAAGCCTGCATTTTTTGAACTGCAAGAGGAAGGGTGAGATGGGCAGAAGAATAATGGCATGTTCAAATTTGCTTTCAAATATTCTAATTGATTACCTTACACACTTTTTGGCCAAAGGCAAACTCCACTGGTCTATTTCTTTCCCCGTCCATTAAACCCTTTTCCTAGAACTCTGTAATTTCACTAAATCTCCTTCTGTGGGTCTGACAACTTTGCTCCTTGAACTTCCATTCCTCCCTCTGGCCAATAACCAAGCAGGAAATGGCTACAAGACAATGCTTTCCCCACATTGTTGTGTTTGGGTTTCAGCATAAGGAAAAACAAAACAAAACAAAATTCACCATAGCCTGAAGGTGCAGCAAAGATGCCAAACAGCACTTTACTGCAGGAAGCTCACTAAACCAATCTATCTTAATTAACTGGCTCACCCCAGAAAGGATCAATTGAGACTCACGTGCACAGCAGCTGGTTTCTGTCTCCTCCTGTGTGGATAGTCCCCTCTCTGCAGACAGAGCAATCAGGAACAGGAAGCAAAAACCCATCCAAGTTGTCATCTTGCCTCGGGGAAACTAGTTTGCTGTCCTTTAAATATGTCTTTGAGCTGGGCTGGGGGTTTAGGTGTTCTTGTATATATAGCAGTGCCTATTAGTACTGTAAACAGAGAAGTGAGGAAATCATCGAATTTCCTTGAAAAGGTACAGGAGGAAACTATGTTCAAAGTCTTCTTTTGCAACACCAGCTTTGGCAAATCTTGGCACCATTCCCAATATTTGCAGATGAGGGATTGGCCTCCAGAAAAAAAACAGAAATCTCTGCATTGCATTACTTTCTCTGCCCTTTGTATTCCCTTGAGCATTAATCTCTTCTTCAATGTTCATATGTTCTTATGGATTATAAATGTATTTTTCACCTAGACAAGCATGAGTATAGACTAAATTGTTTTTAAAAATATGTAGAGTGAAAGAAAGGTTAGAAAGTAGATTAATAACCAGAAAGTAGATCAATATCTATTAGGCTTTGTCAGCAAGGAACGTATGCTTGCCTAGCCAGTCTTCCCATAAAAACAGGTCAAATGCAAAATAAAAAATCTCTTGTAATGGTATGTGAGAAAGATCTTGAGACAGTAGGTGAAGAGATGTTACTAAGGGACAGCATAGGCTGCAGCTAGAGAGTGGGTAGGGAAAGAGGCTTAGAAGAGACACACCATAGTTTTTCTCTTGTAAAGGAGATGGGTGGGAGGGAGAACTGTCATTTTGCAACATCATGCTTTATAACCGCACCACTTAGCAATGGAAGTTGTGATCCCAGTTGCCATTGGAACCTGAGGGCTACCTTCCTATGCTATTACTGTGGAAAGGTGAAGCTTGCATTATCTCAGTCAGTTATGACCACAGTCTTCTTTTCATACCTCCAGTTTAATTTTTTTCATTCAGGTAATGATTAGTCTTTTTCTCACTTCAATTGCAATTTCTGTGCAATTGATACTTGAGGATGAGGGGGGGAAGGAAATATGCAATTGAAACCCCACACCTTTTTAATTTTTAAAGAGTCAGTCGAAGATGGATAACTATATCAACTTTGAATGCATGGATAAATAAATAAATGTTCCAAGAATATCATTGGATACTTTAAAATGGCTGGAGCGTTGATTGTGAAGTCATGGTTGCCATGTTGACTTTTGATCCCCTCCCCCAATTGGGACAGGGGACAAAATGACAATGTACTGAGTGTTATGTTAACAATGGTTTGTTCTGTTTTGTCTGGGTTAGGGAATTGGGAGAGATAAAAGTATCACTGGACAGCCTGATGTTGAAGCCAGAATGAGCTACACCCAGCCCAGGAGAGAAGAACTGGCAAACCAATACAGTGCTCAAAGGAAGAAAGCAATCAGGGCCCAATCTGTGATGACTTGCTCTACCAGGGATTCTGTCACAGGGAAGGTTGAAGCAACCAGGGCAGTCAGTCACTGTCCCTTCCAGCTTTGGAGCTCCTTCTTAGTAGCTCTTTTTGCTGAAGCTCAAGTCTCCCTGCTTAAACTCAGCAGTGTTCATCAAGCCTGACCCAGCTTCCAAGTCTACCCAAATCTATCGAGCTTGTTCAAGGAAAGCCCCATTTGTGCTATACAGGATCAAAGAGCTTCAGTATCTCTGCATGTTTGGATAGTCAACCCAGTGCCAATCTCTAACTTTGGAAGAAGAAGATGGAAGTCATTCTTTGTATTCTTTGTTTTTTTTTCTTTATTACATTTCTGTCCCTGTTCTTTTTTTACTCTTTATCACTTCTTTTGATCATTAATTTATGTTGTTTTTAATGTTTATGCTTTGTAAAATTATTCAGAAAAAAAAGAGCTGCCTTGCTAATATGAAAGTTCAAGTGAAACCAACTTCAAAGCTGCCTTACAAAGTCAGGAACAAGTGCACAGACAAACACACAAACACACACACATAAATCATCTGTCCATCACATAATGTCCACCATCAAACAGAAACTACTGTGTTGTTTGTCTTACTTCCTCTGTTTTCGATCATGTACTCCACCTTCACCTTCCTCCATGTCTGGGAGCCGGAAAGGCAAAAAATGGAGCGGGGGCACAGTCCCCCTCATGACCCCCCCTTTGCCTCCTGGCCCTCAGGGAAGGCTCCTGGCAAAGCCGTAAGACTGCAAGGGGGATCCCAGCACAGCTGATCATTGAAACAGCTGATCGTTGGGAGGGGGGAAAAAGAAATACCCTGAGAAATGACTGGGTGGGGGAGAACGCAGTTCAACAATGTCGGGCATGCACACGATGTCGCAAGTTGCAAGTCCCAGGCTGGCAGGAAGGTAATTAAGAGGGAGTTGCAGTGCAGGTTTGATATTACACACATGCATGAGAGGAATGTTCAAAAAAAAATACAGAATAACGGTATCCAAACATGAATGTTACGATTTCATGACATTCCTATGTAGTATAGACACAGCAGAATGCAAACATTAGGAATTTCTCAGTAGCCATTTATTTTCAAATCATGTATAATAAGCTGTACATTCTAGGTTCACAAATGAATTGTTCCTCTTCCCCATTACTGTGATATTAATGTGTAGATGTGGCTTAATAAAATGTAGTGTCAATGACAGGGAATCTAAACAAGAGTGCTTCGAATTGGTCACAGCGGGAATTTGGCTCCAGCATCCTCTTAAAGTCTCCCTTTCCTCCCTGCACCACACAAAGCAATGTTGAGGTGATGGTACTAATAATTGCACTAGGATCCTGTCATGGTTCGCTGGTCTCTTTCTGAGGATTTGATAAAAATATCTGAGGACAGAGCAATAAAGGGGAACAAATCTGTTCACTGTTTTCAGACTGAGAATCAGATTGATATTTTTTAGCAGAGTAAGATCCATGTATCTTACCTATTTTCAAGAATTATGGATATTTCCTTTAGTGTTCCTCTTTCCAACTGTAATACGGAAAAATCTTCAGAAAGGAAGAAGAATCCGTTCACATATCCTTGGTTTAATTGTTTCCATTAAAATGCACCACTTGGGTGATATCTGTCTTTGGAGAAACTCTGTCAAGGTTCAGTTTCTTCCATGCAATGTTTTCCCTCTCCTACAATGACCAATTAGCTCAAAGTGACATCCTCAATTTGCAAAGACTAACATGGTTAGATCAATGTTTTAAGATCTTTCTGGAATACCAATACATCCAGGGATGATACAGTAATCAGAATAACTGCTTTGCATTTAAAAGGGTGAGAATTCTAGACATTCAGTCAAAATTGATTAGGTTAGTGACCTTCCAAAAGATAACAGTGTATTACATCCCAAGTTGAAAATGCTAAATTTTCATGCAAGAGGTAGCTGGGTATCCTCCATCCTCCAATTAGTTTTTAGATTTCACTAAATCTCCTTCTGTGGGTCTGACAACTTTGCTCCTTGAACATCCATTCCTCCCTCTGGCCAATAACCAAGCAAACGTCTCTCTAAGATCTCTTACTTATCAACCAGCCCCCTCCATCTACTTCCAAGTCACAGAAAACCACCTTCACTGTGATGACCTGTAGTCTCTCAAAATAACCCGAAACCCAAAACATATATTAAAATCCGGTAAAGCCTTCAACTTCACTGTTTTATTAGGCACAGTTTAAAGTCACAAAAGTAAATAATGAGGCAAACAAAAAACCAAAACAAACCGCATTGATGAGAGTTCCAAAGCAAGCCAAGATAACTAATTATAAACTCCAGGAATATAACCGAGAAAAGTCCATGGGAAGAATGCCAGCAAAGATAAACCTCTTTCAAGGTAAACACTAATTGACTTCAGAAATTCTAACTGCGCAGTTGCAAACTTATATGCATAGCTTCCACCTGCAAGCTACGAGGAGGATCATGGTAATCTCATCTTGAGTAGACCTCGCTTTTCCCTGATCCTCTCCTCCCTGCATGACCTAGGATGGATAGGGGATGGGCCTGGATCCTCCTCTGACTGCTCAGCCGGCCTCTGCCCTTCCCCAGCCTTCTCCACCACCTCTGGAGCCACACTCCCACTCCCTGTTGGCTGTTCCTCCTCTT